GCACCCTCGGCGCTAGGGGCCGTGGGGGGCTGCAGGCCTCGTGCTTCTCCGCAGCAGGCCCTCCCCGCCCCAGAGCCCTTTCCTGAAGGGACGCTTGCCCAGCCCTGGGCTGGCACGAAGGCAAGAGGAGGCAGGAGCCTCCGGCAGGCTGGACTCGCTGGGCCGCTGGAGGGTGTCGGGCTGGTTCGTGAGGGCAGCGCAGAGGATGCTGGGGCTCTCTGTGGTGCCAGGGCAGCTTTTCTCTGCGCTTCCCTTCCACTCTGGTTTTCATATGTTTCTTCTTTTCCCTCCTTGGATAGCCATTGCCCTTTTGGAGTATATCCTCTCTGTTCTCAGGTCGTTTCCAGGGACTCCCATATGCGTGAAGGCTTCCTGAGATACAGATCATGCGCTTGCTGAGATGATAGCACTGATCGTCCAGTGGCACCTGCTGGAAGAGGAGCTCCCTGCCCAGCCTCACTGCCTGTTGCTCCAAGCCTTTCCCGGAAGAAACCTTTTGCTCTCCAGACATGGATCCCTTGGTCCAGCTGAGTGTTTCCTGGGTTTCACCATGCTGCCTGGAGCCTTTGATTAACTGTGCAGTGTCTAGAGCCCTTTGGTCTTGGTACTGTAGTCAGGGAGAGTTTTGCATGAGCTTTGTGCTCTGCTGAGTTATTTCTGAGCCCTGCACTTATTTTCTAGGTATATGTAGCCAACACAGACTCCTTTTAACCTCTCTCCTGCTGTCTGTGAGTTTGAGAAGGGTCTGTTTTGCAAGCCGTGGCTTGTGTCCCCTTTGTGTGATATAACACAGGATGAGTTTCTGTGGTGGCCCTTGGGCATAAACTCTGCCCTTGGAGAAGGGGTTGTGCCCAGTGCCTTTGGGCCTGGGGGATAGGGGAGCCTGAGTCAGCTAGTGAGATGGCATCGCCCAGAGGGCAAGCAGAGCCTGGCCTGGAGGGACTAGCACTCACAGCCTGGGCCTCTTTCACAGGAAGCTCTGGCACAGTTTGGGAGCTCGTGAGGGCATGAGGACATCTGGACACAGCCAGGCCAGGAGAGCTTAGGCAGACAGATCTCTGAGGTGAGCTGTCCTGTGCTGTTGTCAGGGCTAAAAACAGGTCACAGCTTGTTTTGTTTACTAGGTCATAGACAGTGGAGTGTTTTCCCAGGAGAGTTAGATTAGGATGTTGGGCTAATATCTGGCTTCTTGTCCCCAGATGCCCTCCTGCCAAATATCTGTCTGGGCTGCCAATGCCAGGCTCACTGGGTGGCTGAGCAGAGAAGAGCTTGTTGTGGGTCCTGCTGGTAGTTGATGATGCAACTCTGTTTCTCCAGGGTGAAGCAGGAACAGCTGGCAAAATGGCAGCAGGGGCTTGTCTGGAATATGATGAACAAGATCTAGGAACTGGCAGCATCACAGGGCAGTTCTTATTTCCCTTTGTTCTTCTGTCAGTCGTCATGGTCTGGACTCAGCTCAGTTATAATTGATGATGAGCCCCACCCTCCTTAAGGGAAACCCTGCAAAACCTGGTAGGACTCTACACCTCCTTTTGCTTCAGCACTCCAATGGCCAGGGATCTGCCAAGGGAACCAGACCAAGAGAAAAGATGCTGGAAGCCAAGGGAACTTGGTCTGGGCTGTGTGTGTGGAGACTGATCGGTGACATTCCCAGCAAAGCCCTGGACCGGGTGAAGCACTAGGCACATAACCAGAGCCCTCCTGTGTTCTTTGTACTGTGTGCCAGCAGGGGGGACCTGTGAGTAGCAGGAACAAGCACAAGAGTCCCTTCCATGTCACGTTAGTTGATCTGGCTCAGACTCCCCAAGCAGGACTCGGTTGCAGGGAAGATGGGCAGTAACATGAAGCTGACATTTTTAGGCCTGGCCTGGCCCCTCGTGGGGGCCAGCTGCTGCCCTGTTCTTTGGGGAGCAGGTCCCCAGTGCAGCGCCGGCTGCAGAACTGCACGGGCTGAGGCGGGACCAAAGCCTGTGGGTTCCCAGGGAGCAGCTGGGGGCTTTGCGTGCGCTGTGGGCGATGTGAGCTGCAGCCTGCGCACCGTGATCCATGATGGGGTCCCCAGGGCCCTTCACTGGGCACTGGCTGCGGATCCAGGAATGGAGGCAGATCTCAGCCTCACTGCAGCCGCAGTTGGGTCAGCCCGCAGCTCGTCCCCTGCTTCCCCACGGGCTCATGTCTCCAGCAAGGCCTGTGTGAGCTGCTGTACCCTGCTCTTACACAGCTGGAGTGGACCCGCTTTGAGCAGAGCACTGGTGGCTGTGGGGGAGCCAGCAGCATGTTGCAGCTTGCCAGACCGAGCGGAACGAGAGCAGGACTGTCCTGCAGCCGTGGGGCAGTCTCTTGTTGGGCTGGGCACGTGCACCGCAGGCCCCGCAGCACAGAGTGTGAGGCAGAGTTAGCTGGAGGTTGCCACAGACGTGCAGCAGGAGAGCGATCATTTTCTTTGAAGAAAAATTGTGACTCCCCCTCTATAAACTCATGAAACTGCCTTTCAAGAGGAGAGTTTTGAAATGGCACATTAGTGATTCTTTCCAATTTCCTAGTTGTGCTTTGCTCTGCAGCTGAGAGGGCTTGAAATCTCGTCCTAAAGAAGTGACAGCTGAGACTGTTGCAGGCTCTCCTGCTTTTTTCCCTTCTCCCACTCTGATCTGGGGAGCTGGATTTCAAAGAAGAGTCCCATCTCTGCCGCATCCCTGAGCAGGGCAGGAGTGGGGAGAGCAGCCTCAGCAGCATGCAGGGCTGAGCAGAGGGGCTGGGGCACTGAAGGCTGCTCCAGGCCCTACGAGGGATCTGCAGCAGCAGCGATGTAGGCCCAGCAGAGCGGGTCCCAGCTGCCCAGTGACCCTGCTCTGGAGAGACCTGGGAGGTTGGAGGACAAGACCAGGGACTGTCTTGGCCTACGGAGCTGGCATCACTCAAGTAATTGGGCTGATGTCGGAGGCCTGGAATTTGACCTTGAGTGTATTGCTATATAGCTGTTAGGGACGTAATCCAGTGGAAATAGCAGAACTAAACTTGTACCAGAATATAGCCCAGTGACTCACTACACCAATCGATGAGAAACAGCCCAGAGCAGTTCACCAAACAGCAAAGACTGAACGCTCTGGAAGACACTCTCCGTCTTGTACACCTTGCCCACCGCGGCACAACTTTACCTTCGGGGGTACCTGAGTGCGTAGGATCTCCAGGGATGTCGAGAGCGAGCTCCCACGACCAGAACCAAAATGCTTAGTGCCCCAGTGCCCCCGACCTCTGACAAGCATGGAAAAGGCAAGTGGAAGTGACCGTGTTTCCGTAACCTTGTAGTGTTCTGTGTGCTGATAATCCCACGTAAACCACAAAGGGGCCTGCGGCAATCCCCGCGGG